TTTAAATATGTATTGCATGCTTTGTTCATTGAATAGACAGGGTATAATATGCATTACTATATCTTAGCTCAAAATTTGAGTAGAAGTCTTCTTTGCTTAAATTGGATTTTCCTATCCATTGAAATAATCTCAAATATAGCATAAAAATATAAAGTTATAATATCGGCTTTGTTTCATTATATTAGAAATACTTCTTAGCTCAGAGAGTCTTCAACTTTGATCAGTAGTACATTGAAATTTACTAACTCTGCAGCTCTTCTGTGAGGCACACTTTAAAACAACAAATTTTAGGAAAACATTATTGCCAATGAATAATAATTAGAGGTTTAATAAAGGGATGTGTTGAAATGGAACCGTTAAACCAAGGCCAAGTTATTTGTCAGATAGCCTTTGAATATGCCATAATTAGCCAAATTCTCTTTAGTTAGATAATCTTTCCTAGCAAGAGAAAGAAGTGGTAATGGTATGCATCCATCAGTTTAATGACAACTTGATTTTCCAAAAGTCCCCTTAAGGAATTTCTTCAGTGTACTTGGAGATAATGTAACTAGGTTATATCTGGTATATTAAGCACTTTAGTTTGTGTGTTGCTTTCAGATAATTTGGCAGAGCACACAGCTACATTAGCAAAAAGATGAAATATTAATGGAAATGTTAACTTTGTCAGATTATGAATTGAGTTTATATTTGCCATGTGTGCCATAATCTTGGTCTTTTCTTTTGGAGCATGGCATTTTATAAGGGAAGAAAGACTAATGTAAAAGGGTCTTGACTCACCACACTGAGTGTGGGCTTCTGTTTGAGATCACCACCTTGCCCGAGGCTGTGATCCCCAGGAGGACACGTGCAGACCCTGAAGCACAGATCCCATACATGAGCTCTAATCGGAGGTCTTGTGGTCTGCTGGCGGTACCAGAATTGCATGATAGTGGGGTTCTTTTATTTGCCTGTTGGCTGTTACCAAAATCTTTAATCCAGTCTAAATTCACACAGATTCTTTAATACTTAAACAAAAGGAAAACTTTGGTTTATACAATATATGAAGTTTATTTCCTGTATTTTTCAAACTGTCTATAAAAAGCCAGTCATCCATCTACATTTGGGTCTAAAATAAAGATCATAATTTACGTTTGGTCATTAAATGAGGTTACAGCCATGGAAGAGAATGACTATATCTGATTCTTCTTTTTTGTTTATGGAATCTGTGTCTTTCAGGAAAGGCCGACTCTGTGTGCTTTGGGTTTAGCGTATTCTTGTTACAGGCTACAGGAGGAGAAGAGAAAATGCTTATAAATGTCTCAGTTAGGTTACCCTAAGCATACCCTAAGACAAGGCTCTGGGTATAGTCATTTAGTTGGAACATGGTTCCAGGTAGCAGAGTGAGAGAATGGACTGGGGAGGGGGGTCAGCCACTGAGAGGGGCTCCTGGTGGCAACAGAGACTCTGTCCTGCTGGAGACCCTCTGATGGAAGTATGGAGCATCCTCAGATCCACCCACTGAGGTGGGTGCGTGCAGAAGCTGGAGTATTTATCCATCAATTATTTCCTCATTGGCTGAGACACAGGAAACTATAGATTTGGAAAGGAACAAGCTGCCTCCCAGGAAGCAGAGGGAATATGGGTAGGATGCTGACAGCACTGGCTACAAGAAGCATGACTAGAAACTCACGGAAACATCACAAAAGTCTACTGCTGATTTTAAATTCAGCGAAAGACTGCACTAAATCCATACACATGCACGGCTTATCGTCACAAGATAATAATGCAGGACTATGTAAACTGAGCGTTTTGACCTGGTGCATTTTATTTGTTCTTAGCCCTTGACTCATCCATCACCCATCAGCATGAGTTAAAAATTGGTTTTAATCTGATGAATCCAACCATCGCTCATCTCTGTAGACACACAGATTCCGCTGGGATTTCTAAATAGGTAGCCTAGATCCAGATTCATATTCTGTTATATTCTCCATGCTAACATTCCTTCTCACTGTTTTAGAAGTCAACCAATTTATATTCAGTGTCTGCTTGCTTTGATTATGACAGAGATTCGGTGGCATCTTGGAGCGACTTGCCTGCCTTTGCCCCTGCCTGGGGCTGCTCTGTTCATGGCTGACAGCATAGCCAGATAGGTCTCCTGAATTTTGTTGATGGCAATTTCACCCTTTTCTTAGATCTATTGGATTTTAAAAAAAAGATAAAATGTAACTCTATACTACTCACAATAAACACATCTTAATGTGTAATGTGTAAGAAAATATACAAAAAAATAGGGATAAATTATGAAAACTTCCATGATAAGAAAGCTAGTATAACTATAGCAATATCAGAAAAACAGACAACAAATCTATTTGTTTAAATAGATTATGAACAGTATGGCTCCTTTATAATATTTTGGCCTCACACCCAATCATCTACTACATTGATCAATAAACAGAGAAAAGAAACAGTGACCATCCCATACAGTGTGACTCAGTACATGTGGTGCATTCAGTACCTACAGAAATGCAATTAAGTGAATGCAACCTTAGCAGAACTCAGTCCCAATCTTTAAGGGACAAAGTCTGTCTGCTAAGTACTTCCTTGGTTACAGTTTGTGTTTTATGACTTTCAGACTTCTCAAACGTCTAACCTTATCTGGTTGGTCACAGAGGCCAAAACATGGAAGAATTGAAGATAAGTGGCAAAAGTGTGTCTTTGGGGAATGGATAGCAAAAGATCAGTAGATGATGGAGTGGCTCTTTATATAAGATTACAGAAGGTACTAAAATGCCGTTTATTTAAAACATAAATCCCATTGTCTTTTCGGGTGGCTTCTGAGATTGGAGAGAGTACAGGCTTATATAGATACCAGACCATCCATCAGAATTATCTAACTCTCAATTTGTGCATAGTAAGGACAGATTTTTTTTTAAGTTTTAAAATATGAACATCTATTTTCATGTCATTAGTAGTTTCTGGGCACCCGAGTTCCAAGTAGCTCCATTTTTCTGAGGCCACCTGTTTCTTTAATAAATAAAAATATTACTAGATTTCTTATTTCGCTATGGAACTCAATATTGTCCATCCTCTTAGTGTTGCTTATCCTGGCCCCTGGTGGGGTGCTGAGATGTCTCACACCGTTGGACAGAGTTCCTGGTCTTTCAACATTTTGCTTAAGTCCAGAATTTGAACTCGCCTCCTCTCTGTTAGGCTAACATGATGCTGCTGTATTGTTAGATTGTTAATGAAATTTGGAGAATAACAAATGGGAGTTAGAGTTCAGAATAGGAATCAAAGCAAAATGTAATTTCAAGTGGTTGCCAGAGTTCACCAGCCATTTCCCAACATGGGGACACTGAATGTTGTCCTTCTCCTTGGGTGCAGCCTTCTGACAGGAAGTGGGGCTCTCTCCTCGCCCTGTGTGGGTCTTTCTCACCTTCCTTCCATTCCCTGGCCCCATCCCCATGGTATTGTTGTCACCAGAGAGAAAATCCCAAGGCAATCACTACCTTATTTTTCAGAATAGTTGGGTTTCCCTTTGTGTGAGCATCTCTGATCCAGATTTTCCCAGGCCTTGTGTTTAGATCCGAGGTCATTAATATGATTTTAAAACATAAGCTCTGTCTGCCCAGGCCTCCACCCTAAGCAGCACCAACAATGAACAGAAGCTTCAAAATTAGATTTTTCTTTGATGTTCCCTTGATAAAATGCTCAGCAGGTCATTCATTCATTCATTCAACAAATAACTACAGAGAAAATGCTACTTTCCAGTTATTCCTCAGGAATTGAGAAATAAAGCAATGAACAAGCCCACCTCTTCACTCCCTTTCACACCACCAGTATCTGTGAGTGGAAGGAACTGCATTACAAGACATATCACCAATGTCCACAATAAAACTCAGTGGTATTTCTCTGTCTCCAAAAAAATTTTTAAAAATATGTGGACTTGTCCATTTTTTCCTCAAAGACTAACATATCCACAAAGTCTATTTTTCTTTTTTCTTTCTTCCTTTCTTTCTTTCTTTTTTTTTTTTTTTTTTTTTTTTGGTGAGGAAGATTGTCCCTGAGCTAACATCTGTTGACAATCTTCCTCTTTTTTCTTGAGGAAGATTGTCACTGAGCTAATATCTGTGCCAGTCTTCCTCTATTTTTTGTATGTGATATGCTGCCACATCATGCCTTGATGAGTAGTGTGTAAGTCTGTGCCTGGGATCTGAACCCATGAACTCTGGGCTGCCAAAGCAAAGCACGCAAACTTAACCACTACACCACCAGGGCAGCCCCCAAAGTCTGTTTTTCTGATATTGATATAGTTATACTAGCTTTCTTATCATGGAAGTTTTCATAATTTATCCCTATTTTTTTGTATATTTTCTTACACATTACACATTAAGATGTGTTTATTGTGAGTAGTATAGAGTTACATTTTATCTTTTTTTAAAATCCAATCTAATAATATCAGTCAATTAATTGGAGTATCTAGTCCATTTACACTTAGTGTCATTTCTGATACAATGGGCCAATAACTGCCATGTTATAATTTGTTTTCTATTTGTGCCACCTGTTTTAAGTTTTTTTGACTCTTTAATTACTTTGCATTCATTGAAGACTTCTTTCCCATTTTCACTGTTAGCCTGTTAGTCATACATTCTTTCACTCTTTTTGTTGCCACATGGAAATTGCATCCATTCTGGACTCATTGCAGTCCAAGATAAATTACTGTCTTTTGCCACTTCCCACAGAACCTAGAACCTCAGAATATTTTAACTCCATTTACTGCCATTTCATATTTTGTGTTAGTGTCATTGTACATTTCATTTCTGTTATATTTTAGACCACACAATACATTATCCTCATTATTTTATACAATTAATATTAATTTGTATTGCCCCATATGTATATATGGACATTTAACTTATTAAAAACTTTTGCTTTCTCCATTTTATTTCTTAAGTTGAAACATCAAGGGGAATTTAACAAAAACTGAAAAGATAATTCTTAGATAAAAAGTGTTTTCTTACCTTCGTAAGTACCAATATTCCCTTTGGCATACATGTCAGTACCAGCACTTATGAAAGTGTTAGCTCCCTGCCCCCTCGCTAAGTGCCTCTTCTGTCTCTATGGCAAGGAGGTAGTGATAACACTAACCAGGTGGGGCTGTTTTGGTTCAATTGGTTCACATGACTACAGCTCCTGGGAGCAGGTGGCGCATAGCAGGTGCTCCTGGACTGTTGCCCTTCTATTTTCTCGGATCCCAGGCATGTGGCTTCCTCCAAACACCAGCCTGTCCTTCTAACTTCATCTGACAGCAGGTGCACTGTGGATGGGCTCCTTGATAGTTTATGGACAACATGGTATCGGGACATTGTCTCATTCTTCTTTGCATTTACCGTTAGTGCTTATCAGGGGGCCTGGCATTTAATGGACAATGGTGGATGTTTTCCGAATGGGCAGATAAATGAATGAGTGAATGAATGAACAAATGATCAACACTCAGTAATGTGAGCTCATGGAGAAATACTCTCTACCATGCGCTGAGGTCCCCCCACAGGCACATGCTCAGTCTCCTGTAGACTGCACCTGTCTTTCCCTAGAGCAGGCAGGGGTGAGCAGGCTGTGGTGAGAGTTTTCCCATCTTCATCAAGATGCTCTCCTGGCCTACCTTCTGCTCCCTGGGTGAAAGTTCCCAACAGCCACCAAACTGGTGTGCACTGGAGGGGAGCCCAGGAGATGGACACCTGGCCCTGAGAACCTGGGAGCAAAGCCCAGCTTCCCTCCACCCCTACTTTCTCACTACTTTGTCCACAAAAAAAATTAAGAAAGGAAAAAGAGAAAATGTGGAAGACAGAGAAAATGTTTCATTCAACAAATGTTTGTTTATCAGCACTGAATATCAGTTGCTAAATCCACAATACCTGAAGAATGTGATGTTTCCTACAACAGATTAACGTTGAAAATACTCCAGGATGAATATGAACTTTCAAAGGTTGTCCTTCCGTGATTCTTTCCCTCAAAAATGTATTGCAGGTTTTCCTTGAAGAGAAGGCAGAGAAGTCCCGCTCTAATGGAAATAAGTACATATTAAAATAAGTGTACTATTGCGTGCTATTGTTTCCCGCATTTACTGAATTTAGAGATCAAAATACAAGACAAGCTCACATATTATCATTTCTTTGTGTTCCAACGGTAGTTTCCTACAGATGACGTTGTGCAGAACCTGCTATTTCTGACTCCATCTTTCTAGTAGTTTAGAATCCCTAAAGCGGACTGAATAGTCGTCATAGAGGAAACGCAATATCTGGAAATATTTGACTTTCTTATTTAGGAAATGTGGAGTATTGTTGACTTTCTAAAGTGCGATAAAGCTTGCACTTTATCTCTCAAATGAACAGGCAGGCGGAAATGAGTGTTTTCTATCTTAGACTGGCCACTGGTTTCTGACGTTTTAATATTGTTTCTGCTTCACTACTTTACAATCAAAATAGATAAATAATGTCCTTTGGGAAATAACTTTGCCTTCCTTTATTCTCCACACTGAAGAACACATGCTTAGAATTTAATAACTAATCAATAATGTAATAATACACTCTGACCTTACAAAATTTGATCTTTTCAAAAAAATATGTATTTCTAGAATCTATATTTTAACTTATTCGAAAGAGTCCTCAAATTGACCCCACTACAAATCAGCAATGATTTCAAATATTGCTTGGATGTGACCCTGGTTGTGTGAACTCTCTTGGCCTTTCTTCCCTACCTTGTTTCAGGAGCGGCTCCTGCTGTCCCTGCTGCCGGCTCACATAGCCATGGAGATGAAGGCCGAGATCATCCAGAGGCTGCAGGGCCCCAAAGCCGGCCAAATGGAAAACACAAACAACTTTCACAACCTGTACGTCAAGCGGCACACCAACGTCAGGTACCTGCTTTGTTCTTGATCCTCGGCAAGTCTGGGGAGCCCGTTGGCTGGATTGGGGGCATTTTTGGCTGGGACCCCACATCTTACAATGTTGTGTCCCCTCTGTAACCATTCATGTAGAGTAGTTACCCCTTCACTCACTCTCCAGCTCCACTTGGGGCCTTCAGGTTAAGATAGCAAGGTAGGATCCTCTTTACTCTATTGAGTTCTCCTTCATTGCCCTGCTTTCCATGGCTGACCATCAGTCACAAAATGGAAAGAGTTGGACACGAGAGTCCTTATTCTTGCAACTCCATGCTCAGATCACATGCTGTCCTTGGAGCCCAAGGCCCAGCTTTGCAGTAAGATTGGAAGGGGAGTCAGTGGGCTCTTGGCACAAGGACTGACTCGCCTTTGCAGGGGCTGAGCCTCAGTGCAGCCAACACTTTCCAGGGAAGCAGGATGTTCTGCTGTCCATCAGGAATGATGGGTTTCTGGGGTGTGTCCAACCAGTGACCAAGGTCACAGGGGACTTCATTAATTTATAGTGGAAGGTACTGCTTTCTGAACTAAGATAGTCATATCTGCTTCCCAGGAAGCCTTTACTGAAATCATAGTACCTGGAAAGCTAACATGTTATCAGCATGGGATTACGGTCAGAAAGGAGAGCATCATGGGCATCTTCTCTGTGTAGCTCTAGAGAGGAGCTGTGGTGCCCTCGCTCCAGCCTGAAGAGGGCACTCCCTCCATGCTCCCTGTCTCCCGGCTGCAGCAGAGTGGGAGTGCTCACCGTTCTCCATGCCCCTCACTCCTGGTACCACTTCTTTGGGGGTTTCTCCTTTCATCTGTTCAGTTACGTTGCAGTAGTGCTTTCTGTTCTAGCTGGGTTTTCTTTTCTTTTTTAAAGATTGGCACCTGGGCTAACAACTGTTGCCAATCTTTTTTTTTTTTTTTCCTGCTTTATCTCCCCAAACTCCCCCGTACACAGTTGTATATCTTAGTTGCATGTCCTTCTAGTTGTGGGATGTGGGACGCTGTCTCAATGTGGCCTGACGAGCGGTGCCATGTCCGCGCCCAGGATCCGAACCCTGGGCTGCTGCAGCGGAGCATGCGAACTGAACCACTCGGCCATGGAGCTGGCCCCTAGCTGGGTTTTCTCAGTAACTAACTCACGCATGCATCCAGCCTCATTCATCAGTTTTGATATTAATACTTTAGTTGTGAGAGTTACCCACCCACGTTCAGTAGTTCAATAACAAGCGCCAACACAACTCAAGTTTGTTGAGCATCGACTAGGATTGTAAGCAGTCTGTTTGCCCCCAAGTCCAGACTCTTTCCACTGCATGGTGCTGCCTTCTAGTCTGGTTGCTTCAGTTCAATGATTTTTGAAGTTCATTAATAAAAACAAATTTAACTGCAACTTAAATACATTGCTAAGATGTATTTAATCTCATTTTGACACCAGATTTTAGAAAAGCCATTGCTAGTGATAGACATGGCCCAGGAGTACACAGAACTAAATGTACAATAAGAATGCATACTGGGGGCCAGCCTGGTGGTGCAGAGATTAAGTTCGCACATGCCACCTCGGCAGCCCAGGATTCGCCACTTTGGATCCCGGGTGCAGACATGGCACCACTTGGCACGCCATGCTGTGGCAGGCGTCACACATATAAAGTAGAGGAAGATGGGCACAGATGTTAGCTCAGGGCCAGTCTTCCTCAGCAAAAAGAGTAGGATTGGCAGCAGATGTTAGCTCAGGGCTAATCTTTCTCAAAAAACAAAAAGAAGGAAAGAAAGAAAGAAATGCATACTAGGAAGGAGATAACAGAAAACACAGTTGCATATCAAGTAGGAACTAAAAAGCTATTGAATAAATGGAGAATCAGGAGTAAAATTTTGAAAAAAAACATTCCCACCATTTTTTGGAGTAATAGAAAAAAAAAAACTACATATGTTTAAAGAACATTCACACATGTTAAGGAGTAAAATTATTTGAAACACTGGCCTGCCTTCATTTTTTAAAGTGGTTTGCCTACATCATTAAAGAAAACACATTCACAGCATCGGACAAGGTGTTTTATACTAAAAATGGTTCTTTCCAGCCTTAACTGAGAATCAGCAATGCCCCTCTCATCCAAGGAAATACAGTATTTTTAATTCACTTACTGGGTATTCAAAACATTAAAGATGAAGGCCTCTGTGTCTAAAGAGGACCGTAGAATATCTTTAAGTAGCAATGATATAGACCAGGAAAACAAAGGCCTTTAAAAATAACTGAAGACACCACACCCTCAGGCCCTTGATGAAGGGGCTGTGTGCTATATGTATTAGTTACCAATTTCTGTGTAACAAATGACCTCAAAACTTAGTAACTTAAAACAACAGTAAATATCGTCTCACAGTTTCTGTAGGTTGGAATTTGGGAGCAGCTTAGCCAGGTGGTTCTGGCTTAGGTTCTCTCATGAGGTTGCAGGCCAGATGTCAGCCATGGCTCTTGGAGGCTGTGCCTCCAAGGTGGCTCCTCACGTGGTTAGGAGGTTAACCTGGCTGTTGGCTGGGGGCTTCAGTTCCTCATCACTGGGCCTCTTCACAGGTTGCTTGAGTGTCCTCATGACGTGGCAGCTCACTTTCCCAGAGGGAGGGATTCAAGAGAGAACCAGGTAGAAACTGCAACATCTTTTATAATCTAGCCTTGGAAGGTCATTTCTGCAATGTCTTGTTGGTTAAACAGGTCAGCCCTATCCATTATGGGAGCAGGCAATACAAGGGTGTGGGTACCCCAAGGTGAGGAACACTGGGGCCATCTTGGAAGCTGACTACCATACTGTCTAAGGCAACGGGTTGGTGAAGCAGCTTCAACTGCCTTCAGAGATTATCTAGAATATGTTTGCAGTATTGAACTAAACTTAAGTTCATAAAATATATTTAGGATCCTAAAGTTACCTACATGCTTAAAACTTAAAACATAAAAACTTAAATGGCGTTGAGTACCAATTATTTTTAAAATAGTACAAAAACATGGCCTTTTCATCCTGAAACAGGACAGGAATAAGCAGAAGCAGACACGATGCATGGGTAATGCAGACAGTTCAGTGAATACCTGAGGGTTTTATTATTGTTGTTGTTGTTGTTGTTGTTGTTTTAAGGGGAATTATTAGGTTTGTAAACAGTACCAAAAAAATCAGTTACTAACTTTTGTTTCTACTTTGACCATTCATTCAACAAAATGTTTATTCTCTGTTAATTACATTTACTGGCTATTTACCATCTAATGATAATAATGATAATAATAAGGAAGAGGAGGTGGAGAAGAAGAATTTATAGACATAAAGGTAGCAACTACTAGTTGCTACCTGAATCGTCATTGTCTTCGTCTGAATCCTTTCTACCAGTGCTGAAACATTCACAAAGCCACCGCATCTTTGGAAACAAACAAACACACGTCCCTTAATCTAGTGCCACTATCCAACTCTGAAACTCTCTCTTTCTCCCATGAATTTCATAGCCCACATTCTAGAAGGAATTTTCCACACTCTTTAATTAATCTTCCTTATTTTCTCTTGTTCCTCAAATTGCCGCTCTCTGGCTTTAACCTCCACCGTGTCCCAGAACTCATTCTTGCTAAATTCATACCAACTGTTTTGTTCCCAAATCTGATTATGACTTACTTCTGTGTGCTCATCTCATTGACCACTCAGGTATGCTTGGCCCCGTTGACCTTGCTCTGACGCTTAAAGAATTCTCCTATCTGTTGGTCTCCATGACGTTGTATCCCCTTTATTTTCTTCCTACAGTCTCCTTTCTTTTCTCTTCCCTAAATCTAGGCTCCCCGGTAAATGAGAGCATTTTCAGGGCTCTCTCCTAGCTCTTTCTGCTCTCTTCAGCTCTCACCCAGTACTTTAATTACCATCTACATGATGCTAAGACATGGAACTCAACCATAGTTTTCTATACTCATCTACTTAATGAATGTCTTTCTCTTGGGTGTTCCACAGACACCACAATCAAATTCGACACAACCAAAGTTGAACTGGTCAACTTTCCCTATAAGCTTTATCTGATTCAAGCTAGGCTTGAACCCCATAGCTCAGCCAGAAACTGAGTCTTCATCCTCATTACTTCCCTCTCCTAGACACCACCCCCCCCACCCCACCCCCCTGCCCGGCAAACATCTAATCACTAACAAAGCCTGGTTCGTTCTCCTTCGTTTGTATCTCCCATATCTGCCCAGTTCTGTCTATTTTCCCCAGTAATAGACCTTCCACAGGGCTCTTCTGGATTAACAGGATGTGATTCTAACTGACCTGTCTGACTCCAGGTTGCTGCAGCCAGAGTGATTTTTCTAAAGTGTTGATCTGGGTAGAGTCTAGGTTGGGTTCCCATGTGATCCCGCAGAGCACCGTGCTTCCTCTACCATAACCCTTTGCACATTGCATCACAATTGCTTATATAGATTTTGAATCCCCTTGCTTTTGAGTAACTTCTGGACCAGCTTAAGACATCTGCAGCCAGTCTATCTTTGGGCTCCTTCACCCACTGTAAGTTTTGACTACAGAAAACATTGTGGAAGTTGTAAACAAGAAGTGGAGTCAACTGCCCATCCACATATTCACCATCCCAGTGCTCCTCAGCATCAGGCATTCTTTCTCTGAGCAGGCAGAGTTAATTCTTCCTCTTGGACCTATGCTCAGCACCTGTGATCCCTGCCTCTACAAGGGAGCATGGGAGAAGCAGGGATGGTTTTCCTGCATCAGAATGGAGAGTGCAGAAGCCCCAGCAGCTCTGATTTTCCTGGACCATTCAGAAGTCTCCCCTGGCTTCTGTCCATCAGCAGAGGAGCAAGTCTGTCCTCTAAGGTGAAGCTTGGCACAAGGAGTGGAGTGTGGCCAACAGCAGAGATCCAGCTGTGATCTGGCTGGGACCTGGCTGACAGGTGCCACATTATTTATTTCTTTTATTGTGGCAAAATATACATAACGTAATATTTACAATTTTGACAATTTTAAATCATAGAGTGCAGTGGCATAAATACATTCACATTGTTCTGCAGCCATCACTACCATCTGCCTCCAGAACTTTTCTTCATCCTAAACTCAAGTCCCATACCCATTAAAGAACTCCCCCCACAACCTCTGGAAGCCACCATTCTGCTTTCTCTCTCTGTGGTTTGACCACTCTACCTATCTCATGTAAGTGGAATCATACCATATTTGTCCTTTTGTGTCCGGCTTATTTCACTTAGCATAACGTCATCCAAGTTCATCTGTATTGTAGCTTGTGTCAGAATTTCATCCTTCTAAAGACTGAATAATATTCCGTTGTATGCATATACCACAGTTTCTTTAACCATCCACCAGTGGACATTTGGTTTGTTTCTACGTTTTGACTAGTCTTGCACGGCTTAACAACAGGAATACGTTCTGAGAAATGTGTTGTTAGGTGATCTCGTTGTTGTGTGAATGTCATAGAGTGTACTTATACAAACCTAGATGGTATAGCCTACTCCACACCTCGTCTATATGGTACCAATCTTTTGGGACCACTGTCATCTATGCAGTCCATCGTTGACCAAAGCGTCATTCTGCAATGTGTGACTGTGTTGTGAATAATGCTGCTATGAACATGGATGTTCACATATCTGTTCAAGATCCTGCTTTCTGTTCTTTTGAGTATATGCCTAGGAGTGGAATTGCTGGATCATATGGTAGTTCTATGTTTCATGTTTTGAGGAACCACCACACTGTTTGCCATAGCGGCTGCACCATTTTACATTCCCACCAGCAATGCATAAGGGTTCCGATTTCTCCACACCCTTGACAACACTTGTTATTTTCTGTTGTTTTGATAATAGCCATTCTAGTGAGTGTGAAGTGGTAGTTATTCTTGTTTCATGGTACTTCTTAAACCATACCATATTATCTGAATCTCAAACTGCCAGCCATTTAGGCTTCTAGTTTATTAGGCCTTTAGAAAAATCATAAACGGATTATTGTGTAGGAAAAGTTGTAATGCACACACTGGCACTGTGTTTCCCTATCTTGACCCCTCAAGGTTAACTTAACATGGATAAAACTCTAAGAAACCTCACATTTGTCCCACTAGCATGTACATCCCATGGCGGGAGAAGGAAGCTGCACTGCCGTCTCCTTTGAGTGACTTTCATGGACTCCACCATCTGTCCCCACCCTACACTGTTCTCTCGTGTAGCACTCTGCTGTTTTCCTGTATATACTTGCTATCACTGTAACTGGACGTTTGTCGGTGTCCTTTTTTGTTGAGTGCATCACCCCAACTAAACTCTGAGCTTTAGGAAGAAGTATTATGTCCGCTTTGTCCTGGCAGGTAGTAAGCAATCCAGAATCTTTTGTCAAGTAGTCTTTCTTTTAAGAAGGTTATTTTTTCTTTAAATCAATAAAAACAGGATTGGGCTTTTATTATTTTCCTTCTTCTACTTTAGAAATTCTTATAATATAAATTCATGTAACAATTCAAATAGAAACATATGCATTTGACATCAGAATTATGTCAGTGTAACGAACCGTCAGGATGAATACCACATAAACCAGAGGGGGAGGGAGGGGCTGGCCGTGAGGGAAGGAAGGTGATCCATGAGAATGGACTAGAATGGACAAAATGCATCACATGAGTTTTTCTTCTCCCTTGTTAATTATAAAAATTCAACATCAAAAAAATTTTAATGGGAAGTTTAGCAAACTTTATGTATTCTTGACATTTTTCTTGTGAAAATATAGATATAAAATGTAAAAAAAAAAATCCTCTTTGAATGGGAAAAACTATTATTGCTTTCTTAATAACTATAAACTTGCATATTCTGCCTCCCCTTGCCCCCGCAGTATCCTCTACGCTGACATTGTTGGCTTCACCCGGCTGGCCAGCGACTGCTCCCCCGGAGAACTAGTGCACATGCTGAATGAACTCTTCGGAAAGTTCGATCAAATTGCAAAGGTGAGTATTAGTGATTCCCTTCTACTTTAAGAATATCTAAAATCTTGACTCACCTTTTCTCTGGTCTCTTTTCAACTTTTTACCTTTTCATAAAAGCACCTTTTAGGAATGTGTTTGTAAATTTGTTGGATTTATTTGCCATTGAGCCTTGATAAGTCTCAAACCTATAATGGGAATAAAAAATGTCATAGTGTATAATTATCACATTTTCATCAATTTTTAAAACTTCTGCATACGTATAATTCAGCACATGTACTATAAATACATTCAAGGTGGTGATATTTAATTTGCACATCTCTCTCCACTGTGCTGTTCTAAGGTCCTCTTTTTAGGCATTTCAATGTCAAGGAGTTGGAAGCATAATTTCCTCTCTTAGTGGTAACTGTCATGTATTCATATTGTTAAGCAGCATCCTGGAAGAACCCCTCCAATAGAAAGCATAGCTTCTACCTAAGCCCTTTATTTTCCGCTGTCTCATTGTTATCCATTGACCCTTGTACCACTCAAACAGAATTGTAAGTTCAGTATTTGTCATACATATGCTTCTTTATGGGAAGTTTCACAGAGAGGAAATGATGGCAAATGATCCAAAAGCATGCTAGACCTTACTTACTTATTGGAACTATTACAGTTTCTGGTGGAAATATTGATTAAAAATTTTTTTCCTCTCCGTGAGCCCTTTACTTCTTATAAAGCATTTCCAGTCAGCCTAATTATTTCTTTGAATTGTTCCAAACAAAAATTATGCTTATTAAAATGTGTTATTTATATATGGAAGAGTTGGTCCCAAATATAGTTCACTGCAAGATTCATCTCACTTATAAACAATACAGAACATTCAAGCCAAGCCTCTTAGAAATAAATCTGTTCACAGAGGCCCTCTTGGGTCAAGCTCTCCATGAGGTGCCTTATGCTGCCCAGTTGACCATGACAGATCTCACTGGGGATTTAAAAAAATAAATAGGAATACAGCTCTGCTTCCTTCTAGGACAAAACCAAAGGAAGAGGTTGAGTTTTTTGGGGGGCTCATTTTTAGGAAAAAAACTGGTTGAAACTTAAATAATGTCTTGAAAGTTTGAATTAAGGGACAGTCACTTTTGTTGGTCATGCTAGGAAGAAACATCCTGATCTTGGCAAGTGACAGCATAGCTCCAGTGTTCACATGGTGTTGTCCCTATGTGCAAGTTTCAGTGTCTAAATTTTTCCTTTTTATAAGGGTACCAGTCATATTGGATTAGGGGCCCACCCTAGTCCTCATCTTAACTAATTACATCTGCAACGACCCTATTGCCAAATAAGGTCACATTCATGGGTACCAGGAGTTAGGACTTCAACACATGAATTTGAGGACACAATTCATGACCTGTAACAGAGATTCTCAGTGTGACTTCCTGTTCCTCTCTGATCATTGTAACAAAAGAGTGTCCAGGCAATATCAGAGTCCAGCGTAGGATGGCTTGGTCCATCCATTGTTGGTCGCAGGGACAGCATGCTTTGGGCATTCATTCATGGCTCATAGTTAAACAACATGCAGTTGGAGAGTATCGTAAGCAAACAGACAGTTCAGTCCTTTGAGTGAACACTACATAACTTTAAGCTAAGCACCTCAAAATCATTGCTAGTTCACTGTTAATTGTTTTTAATCTTTTAAAATCACTTTATTGAGGTATAATTGACATACAAAAAGCTGTACATATTTAATTTATACAATTAATGAGTTTGGAGAGATATATACACCTTTTAAACCCTTGCCACAATCTATTCCATAAACATATCCATTATCTACGAAAGTTTCCTCTTGCCCTGTTTATTATGATTATGATTATGATTATTTTGTGATTAAAACACAACATCAGCTCTACCTTCTTAGCAAATTTTTGAGTATACAATACAGATTGTTAACTGTAGACACTTTGCTGCACAGTAGGTCTCTAGGACTTCTTCATTGTGCACCTCTGAAACTTTGTACCCTTTGACCAATACCTCCCCAGGCCTGGCAACCATCATTCTACTTTCTGCTTCTATGTTTGAGTATTTTAGATTCCTTATATAAGTGGTATCATATAGTATTTGTTCTTCTGTGTCTGGCCTGTTTCACTTAGTAAACTAAATTCAACAGCACATTAAAAGGCTCATACACCATGACCAAGCAGTATTTATCCCTGGGATGCAAGGATGGTTCAACATATGTAAATCAATTGATGTGATATGCTCCATTACCAGAATGAAGGATTAAAATCATGTGATCATCTCAATAGATGCAGGAAGAGCATTTGACAAAATTACACACCCTTTCATGATAAAAACTCTCAGCCAATAAGGTATAGAAGGAACTTACCTTGACACAATAAAGCCATATGTGAAAAGCCCACAGCCAACATCTTACTCAATAGTAAAAAATTGAAAGCTTTTCCTCTAAGATCAGGAACAAGACTAGGATGCCTACTCTCACCGCTTCTGTTCAGCATAGTGCTGGAAGTCCTAGACAGAGCGATTAGGCAAGAAAAACAGACAAAAGGCATCCAGATCAGAACAGAAGAAGTAAAATTATCTCTGTTTGCAGATGACGTGAGCTTATATGTAGAAAACACTAGAGTCCATGAAATCTGTTATAACTAATAAATTCAGTAAAGTTGCGAGATACAAAGTACACCTACAAGAAAACCAATTTGTGTTTCTCTACATGCCAAAAGTGAAGTATGTCAAAAGGGAATCAAGAAAACAATTGCATTTACATCAGCATCGAAAAGAATCAAATATTTAGGAGTAAACTTAACCAAGTAGGTGAATGACTTATACACCAAAAACTATAAAACAGTGATGAAAGAAATCTAAAAAGACACAAAAAAGTAGAAAGACATTCTGTGTTCATTGGTTGGAAGAAGTAATATTTTTAAAATGTCCATAGTACTCAAAACCATCTACAGATCAAGTGCAATTCCTATCAAAATCGCAATGGTGTCTTTTACAGAAGTAGAAAAACAATCCAAAATTCATACAGAACCACAAAAGACCACAAATAGTCAAAGTACTTTTGAACAAGAAAAACAAAGCTGGAGGTATCATACTTCCTAATTTCAAAATTTATTACAAGCTACAGCAATCAAAACAGTAGGATGCTGGCATAAAATAGATATATAGACCCATGGAACAGGACAGAGAGCCCAGAAATAAACTCACGCATATATGGTCGGTCAACTGATCTTTGATAAGGGTGCCAAGAATTCAGTGTTATTAATCTTACTATTTTCTAGAGTCAGAATATCTATTTAGGAAGTATGGGAGGGAAACCTTACTAAGAAGTAATTTTTTGCCTTTTTGTTACTTACGATATTGTTATCAGGAATTACTAGCATATCATCTTATAGTGCCATAGATAAGGATGAAAGTATGCAAGCTCCCTTTTAGAGAGGGAAAGAAATATACAAAATCTACAGTAAACCTTACATGTGCTTAAGAACAAAAAGATCTTATGTTCATTTTAGTGTTTCAGATTTGTTGAGTTTATACATAAGCTTGTGTTAGTGATAAGAAGAAAAAAATGTGTTTGGTACATCTTTGCTTTTGTTTTGTTTTTGTTTTTTTAGTGAGGAGTCTATAAGCTAGTTGAAAAGGTTAGAAATGGATGTAGGATGGATGCATATGAATGAAGTTAATCTCAGTGTTATAATGTAAATACAGCCCACCCAGGAATATTAATGAGTTACTCTAACTTTCTACTGAAATGGTTTAACCTAAGATCAGAATTAAGTTTTAAATTACTTGGCAATGTTGAATGGTAGCTTATTATATTGTGATGTTTATCAGAAGCTACATGTCTACTGGTAAAAATCTGCTTCGACTTTGAAATAAATGAAGAAAAATGAAGTGAGCATAGTAGAGGATGACATAAGATTCTAATTCCAGTTGAGTTCTGGTCATCATTTTCTGCCCCGAAAAATTCTGCTCTGCACAGAAAGTTTCATTTGACTGTCCATATTTAGGATGTTTCAACCAAAGAGAATGAGCTTTCCTTACCCTCCTCTGCTAGTGTTAAGTGTAAATCTTTCCAGAACTTTCCCTTTCTTCCCGTTTCCCTCATTCTTCCTGGTAAATGGGCATGTGGGTGAGGGTGGCTCATTCTTGTTGAGTAATGACGAGAAACCCAACTAGTTCTCATTTCTCTCTCCCCACAAACACTATTCAGTGTGACAGTGTTGGTGGGATGAGCACCTGATGATATTCAGTAAATCTAAATCGTTATGTAAGTGCTAACACAACTGAAATTCTGATGTCTTCTTCCAGGAGAATGAATGCATGAGAATAAAAATTTTAGGAGACTGCTACTACTGTGTGTCTGGACTCCCTATATCTCTCCCTAACCACGCCAAAAACTGTGTGAAAATGGGGCTGGATATGTGTGAAGCCATAAAGTAAGTGTACTGCTTAGCAAAATCTTTATTAACTGTTTAATAATTTTTAGTTCTAATTCTCATTCACAGCTGTTTCTATTTTTCTGTCTATTGGCACTAAATACATTATTGGACATTTAAATATCAATGTGCAGAGACCCATTTATTGGTGTGTAAGAACTCAGTCCAAAGTACGTCTTCTCTAAGTGTTTTGTACTGTTATTATTGGCCTTAGATTACAGCAAAAGTGAGTTAGAAATCTATGGGAAGGGACAATTTTGTTTGTTTCAAAGGTGATTTTTAAAAAAATTTAAATGTCTTCTCTGATCTTAGGGAAAAAGTCTGTACTCGGCATCTCTCTTGAGTTCTGACAAATAACATGGCTACACACAAAGTGTAAAAAAGAAAGTTCTTTCTATCACCAGCCTGCACCTCATGTAAAAACCCAGTCCAAAATTCCTTCATCTGGTCGAAAAGCCTCAGCTCTGTGAATTTAACTTCAGTTTATATCCATAATATATGTCTTCTGCATTGTATCTATAGTTTCCTTCATTTTAATTCTAGAGAAGATTCACTTACATAGAATGTTAGCATTGCAGTTGACAAATACAAGATAAAGGAGTAAGGACAAAGTCAATTTTCATTAGCAGTACCGTAATGCATCCTTCTTTAGTAATGCCTTCCTAGAAGCCAGACTGTTCTTATAAGTGAGAAAAGCTCTTGTTTGTTGATTGTGTGATTGTAGGATTTTAGTTTATTGGGTTTTTTGACTGCCCATTTTTGGTCAAATGATTTTACCCTATCCTCCACATATTTTTGGTCTAAACAGGATAGGAATTTGTGCTTGATGTTCTAATTCCTTGTCTCAGGGTTAGAGTAGATGGAGCTTTAAGTGAGAAAGCCGTGGATCAGTCTGTCACTGTGTTTAGCACACAGTATATGTTGGACACGTGCTGAAATGGACTAAGAGGTGTGTGGCTGGGTTCCCCAGTGCCGTCCAGGGAAGACGCACAAAGCCCACAGCCTTAGCTGAGCCCAGGAGACAGAAGTGTTCCAAATCCACTAGCTCAGTAGCAATTGCCGTGGGCCACCGTGGGACAGATGAGGGATTGGGAGGCAGATGAATAAAATGGAATCAAAGAAAGAATTGAGTGGGAGGAGTAGTCAGCAGGGCCTCAGCTTCCCAACGAAATGTATTGCCTGTGAAATAATCATGTTCTGCTTGCTTCTTCCCATAGGTAAATCATTTGTCGTCTCTGAGACATGAAAAATATTTTTTTTTCATTATTTCAACAGCAATTAACTATTCATGACACTATGGGTCTAGCTGTAAGTGGGTCCAATCAGTGGAAATAATAGGTTTTCTCAAATTTGTAACCTACCCCTGGAGGCAAACATGGTGTTTGTTTCAAACGTGAGGTGAAATAGGTTCTTTTGGGGAAGGCATTTTTTCTTGATTTCCTTTTCAAATAGATGTGGGAAAGACTTTATGAAGGACAAAGTTACATGTATCAATAACATATTAAATTAAACAATCCACCATTTTACTGAAGCTTGATTTTTGCTTTGGAATCAACTGTTTTCCAGTTCTGTTATGTTTGTGACATTCCAACATGTTTAACACCTTTTAGGAGAAAGAATCCTTACATTCTGTCCACTGGCATGTCACCAATTCATCAGTAATATCTGTTTTTTTCTGTTACTTTTTTTATTGTGGTAAAATGTATATAACAAGTATCGCCCTTTGAACCATTTCTCAGGTGCAATTCAGTGGCATTAAGTACATTCAAAATGTTGGACAACCATCATCACTATCTACTTCTAGACCCTTCTCATTATCCCAAACGGAAAATCAGTACCCATTAAGCCATAATTCCCCATTCCCCTCCCCCGTCACCTGGTAACCTCTGTTGTACTTTCTGACTATATAAATTTGCCCATTCTAGGTATTTCATGTAAGTGAAATCATACAATATTCGTCCTTTCATGTCTGGCTCATTTCACTTTATGTATATAATGTTTTCAGGGTTCATCCAGATCGTGGCATGTGTCAGTACTTCATCACTTCTGATGATGGAATAATATTCCATTGTATGTATTTACCACATTTTATTTATCCATTCATCATCTATGCATTGGCGATATCTTCTCAGTGGTGTTAGCAGGTTGGAGGAAACTCTCCAGAACTCTTGCTTGTATCTAAACTTAAGCTTCAAATCTTAATGGCCACATGTCCCCACAATCTGCCCTTCTTTGACCAAGGATTTCCATATTCATTCTCTATTATATATCACCTGTTCAGCTCATATACAGTTGATCAATAATAGGTTGTTTTGTTATACCCTCAATAAAAGACAGCACCTCAGCAAATTTCAGAAATTCTTTGTTCTCTCGTACAAAGAAAAACATTTTTATTCCCATTTATTGAACCAGAAAATGAGGATGAATACAGTAATTTTGATTTTTTAAGCTGATGCGGAGAAAGCACGTACTTGGTACTTGGAATTTTGGCCAGTCACCTCAGGTTTTTACTAGGCACCAGTAACATGGGTCTAGGGACATTGGCCTGTGTCTTCCTCTCCAATTTGGACTCCCACACTTGCTCAGAGCCTCATTCCCAGTCCAGCAAGCCACCGCTACAGGAGCACTGAGTGGCAGTTTTGGAATATTCCCAATGCTTGCAGAGATTTTTTTTTTTTCTGTCAGGAAAGTTTAAACTGTTCACAATCAAGGGAGTAATATTCAGGAGCCTGATTTTGTAGATGATGAAGTTTCCTCTTAAACTAGAAAGTTTGTCTACTGTTGTTGCAAGCTTTAAGCAGTTATTTCAACCTTTTTCCAGAGACCACACAGATTGCATCTACATGCATTGAAACATTTGGTCAGTCAATCCATTTGAACCCTTGATCAACTCTTTTTTTCTAAAAAATACTCAAAGGACATGGAGATGGTTTTAAAGAGTCATATCGTTCACCTGTCAATTCTGTCAAAATGACCAACTGTAGAGTGCTTTGTCTTCCCTCTTTATTCCCTCTCGGCTTTCTGCTGACCATATTTTGTGTGGTTGGAGCTGTTCTTCCTCAACAACATAAAATCTTAAGAACAACTATGCATTCTGTGACAAATTTTTCAGGGTCATCATCTCCCAAAGACAGAAACTCAGTAAATCCTTCAAAAATGACCTGAGTCAATTAAACTGGTCTCAAGTGTCTACACTGCACCAGGCCCTGAACCTGCTGATGGGTGTACAGACCACTTGGAAAAGGTCTGTGTCTTCGCGAGGCTGACACCCTGAGAGCAGATGTGAGCACAAACAGGGAATGCTACCTGCACTCAGGGAGGTTGGAGCACTTAGGAGGGAGGCCTACGTCAACCTGGAAGGAGAGACCAGAAAGCCTTCCTGGATGAGGTCATACCTAAGTCACAAATGGAAGAACAGTGCAAGCTGGCCAGGCGATGCCCATGCCCTGTCAGGGAAGGGAGGCTCAGGGGAGTGGGGAGCAGAGAGAGGAACCCTTGAGAACAAAGGCCCAGAGGTAAGGACCACATGGTGCCCAAGCAGCTGTAAGCACTCTTTGCTGATGGAGGGCAGAGTGGCCGGGACAGCTCTCCTATGTCATATTGATGCTCTGGCTCATCGTGTAGGCAGGAATGAAGGGTTTGGATGACTTGCATAGCACCAAATATGGTGTTGTCTTTTTTGTGAAAAAAAAGCAGAAAAGGACAATGGAGAGGGAGGAAGGAAAGGGAAGAGAAGGAAAGAATTTTCTATATATTTTTTTGAGGAGTCCATTTATTTTTACATCCATTTCTTTCTATCATTTTTAGCACACTTGATGTCATTTTATTTTTTAAGCATGACATCCATGCCTATGCCCTTTTGAGCCTTTTAAGGTTCACTTTACTGCAACCCACACTGGGTAACTCTCCTTGTTATGTTGCAATCAGGGTCATTGCTACCCTCCACGTTTCCTCTTGGGGTGGTTCTCTCCAGCTGGCTAGGGACACCTTCATGCATACTTCTTTTACAATAATATTTTAATTGATAAATGTATTTAGTGGCAGAAATAAATAAGCATTGCCAAGAATTGCCATTTTCCCTTAAAGAAGTTCTTCATTTATCTCTGTTAATGAGTTGGTTACAAGGTCCTAAAGTATTTTTTAAAGGATATTTAAAAAATTGGTTTGTTTTTAATGATATCTTATGCATTATTAAGGCTTTTCAAAGAGTATTATTTTTCTCTTTTTGTCAAAGAATGTGCACAGTTGAAAAGCTTTAATCTCATGGCTATTTTTTAAAACTTCTATTCAGGCTAAAGTCATTATTAAACTCACAAATAAGCCATATTGTCTCTTATCAGCAAACAAATATTCATTGGGGACATACATTGTGCTAAACATTAGAATTGCAAATGGCATCTAAGACCATTTCTGACAGTACAGAGCGATGGCATGTGATGCGAGTATAAAATTCGGAGCAGGTGTCAGCACGTGATAGGTGCTTGATACGTATTGGTTGAAAAAGTAGAAGCTACAGCCAAAATGCTGTGTCATTGCTGCCAACATAGCCGGAGTGTTGGAACCTTTGGTCTAGGCTGGGAGTATCCAGAAAGGAAAGCCCTTTCTCTTGGCTCAGAGCAGCAATCTTCTCCCACAGGAGGAATTCATGACAATATTTCCAACAGTGTGAGAAATTCTGAATAATAAAATGCCTGGAAAATTGGCCAGCAGTTTCAAGAAGAAAAGAATGTTCCTAGATGGTGATGTTACTTTCCTTCTCTTTAGGAAAGTGAGGGATGCCACTGGAGTTGATATCAACATGCGCGTGGGAGTGCATTCTGGGAACGTCCTCTGCGGTGTGATTGGTCTGCAGAAGTGGCAGTACGATGTGTGGTCACATGATGTTACCTTGGCCAACCACATGGAAGCTGGAGGGGTCCCTGGGTAAGGCTGGACCTTGGACTTCTCTCTTCAGGCTGGTTACATGGTTAGGAATGAGAGGTTAGTGGGTTACTAACGGACTGCTGAGTGTTCAGTGATTTCTGTTACCTCTGTTAGTATCATTTTACTCCTGCCCAATGGCCTCTTACATTAATCAGATAAACATGAGCTCTCGAGTCTCAATTCCACCACCCCCATGACCCGTGGTCAAAGAAAATGGATATCAGATTCTAAATTACAGACTTTTACTTATTTGTAATTTTGTGAGTTGAGACCTAAGTCAAAGATGTTTTATAATGCAGGGCAGAAATGGCATTTCTCTATTACTGGTGACCTCTGAAACCGGTACTATTAAAATGAGCCAGCTGTAGCATCCATCTCTGGTTAGAAGAGCATATTTGAGACAGGACAATTTTGATTCAAGTGCTATAATTTGGAGACACATGAGAGCATGCATTGAGAAAGAAAATCTGTACTTTTATACAGGGCAACACACTTCCTAAAATGCCTTTGTCATGCATTTCAAAAAATACCCTCACACGCAAAAATTTCATATGATCAAGTTTTATTTGCTGTAATTCCCCACTCCCACCTTGCAGTTTCTCTAAGTGCAGAGAAGCTCCAAATACTGCTAGCACATGACCTCTCAGAGCATCTTTCCAAAGCAGTGGTTAATAAACTATAAACCTTAATCACAGTCAGTTTTACCAAGAACATGTAGTCTTTCCTTCATTTGGGGGAGAAGAAATTTATCTCTGAAATAACAAATACATAGACAGTTTTCCTTCATGTTTATCCTTCTGTGTCTTGATTGCTGTTTTAAAACGGAATTTCAGACGTGTTCACATTTCTTCAGTCACCCTGGAGCACTTGAATGGGGCTTATAAAGTGGAGGAAGGAGATGGTGACATCAGGGACCCATATTTAAAACAGCACCTGGTGAAAACCTACTTTGTAATCAACCCCAAGGTCAGTATTGTAGAGTCTATAATTAGCCTATGCCTTCTGTGATTAAAAGGGAGGGGGAAATTACTGATATAGTAGGTGCTTTTATTCAAGAATCAGTGTAATTCTTTGCTAGTCTTTGCCTCTAAAGTTACTTTAAATGAATTTGGCAGTTTAATTATGGAACATCATTTTGTAATAGTAAATTCATATATTTATTAAAGAAACAGTTGAAATGAATTGCCTGTTTATATGACAAGATTATTGTCTATATGATGAGGTGGTATATCTTAGTCAATGTTAATCTACGTATTGCTTAGTCGATGATGCTTCTGAAAGTCCCAGTGGGCTCAGCCTGGCCCTTGGGAAATTAGAGAGAAGATTTTGCTTAGGGCTTCAGATGATAAAAACCTAATGAGATAAAGTAGGATGAACATATAAGAAGAAGGAAAAGAGAAATATCTAAAAGATTAACAACTAAATATCACATATAACTTTGTGTGAGTACATGTACGTGCAGACACGTTTAACTTTGATACAATAAAGACCTCCATTGCCTGGAAGACCATCCAGACTGTTAGGAGCTATCTCTTACTCTATTCACACCACACGTCAGGCCAGAGCAAGGGACTTAGAGCTCTCACCTCTTATAACCCTTCTCAAATTCCTGCCAAGTGAATATTATTGCTCTTTACCTATTAAGAATCTGAAGCTCTGAGGGGTTATGTAACTTCCCCCAAATCACACAGCTGGTAAACGGTACAAATATCATCAAGAAAGACCTCTGAATGGTCATAACCGATATCACAAAATCAATGAGATCACATGTGCGTGTTTACTCACAGTAGCCTCGCTCTCCCATGTTCACCTTTGGAGATGAACTTCCAACTAACTTGACAGTTGATCTGGAGACACATGTGACAAGCAGGAAGAACTGTGGGGTGACGGGGCGATGGTGTGGGGAAAAGGCAAAAAAAAAATGTGTACAAAGAACACCATGTTCAGGCAAAGAACACCAAAACCCAGATAGAGTAAAGCCATCGAGCATCAGGAAAGAGCCCTGATCTCTACAGCTGTCTGTTTAGGAAAACACAACCATCAAGAAAAAGCTGAAACAGATCAGCATATTCTGTTTAAGAATTTACTTTATAAAAATGCCTGTTAAAATGGCTATTATTTTTTCCTAAGTTTAAATTCCGGGTAACTTTTGCTGTCTAGAAAAAATCGCTCAGCTCGACCAGCTCATAACCGTGGATTCCAGGAACACTGAAGGAACGAGGGCGGGCCCCTAAAGAGGGAAGGGGTGATGCTGGGGGAATCCGCTCAGTCAGGGGAGACTTCCTGGAGGGCAGAGCAGGAAGAAGGCGCTGGGCACCTTTGGCGTGCCAGGTGTAATGCTTTGTTTCTCACCCCAAGGGAGAACGACGGAGTCCCCAGCACCTCTTCAGACCTCGCCACACCCTCGATGGAGCCAAGATGAGGGCCTCCGTCCGCATGACCCGGTACCTGGAATCCTGGGGGGCGGCCAAGCCGTTTGCTCACCTGCATCACAGAGACAGCATGACCACGGAGAACGGCAAGATCAGCACCACGGTACCGCCCCCCCACCCCCCGCCCCTTTGCTTCAAACTCCTCCACCTCTGGACAGAAGCTATGTCCCCAAAGCAAAAGGCTGGGCGTCTCCTGCCAAATTAACTGTCTGTGATTAAGCAAGCTTACCATCTCCTCCCTGGAGAGGCCCCTTGCAAACAGCTGTCAGAGTATAAATGAGCGCCAAGCCCACATTGCTGAGAGATTTAACCCAGAGAGATTTTCCCTTATAACTTTATAACCCACAACCATTTTATTTACTTGTTATTCAATTCACTTATTAGCAACGGACTACAATTGACGTTTTCGGGGGGGTTTTGCTATCATGAAGTAGAAAGCCTGAGCAATATCTTAATAAAAGAACACATGAAGGCATGATGCCCTTGCAGTTGAGCAGCATCATCAAGACTGTCTTTTCATTGCCCAGATATTCAGACTGTGTCTGCAGGAATGAACAGTCTGTTGCTGTAACTCCTTGTTTACACCACTCCAGCTTCCAACAGATAATAAAGTCTCAAAGCTCCTTATAACAGAGACACTTTCAATAAGCTGAATGGCTGAAACACAGATAGACAATAGAAAGACCCGTAGGAGGGGAAAGTAAATACAGCGGAGCACTTAGAACAATCCCGATGATATTGTTAGATTTTAAAGCAATCTCCGAGTAAAATTTCATGTATAATGGCATTAACTGTCCTAGGGATGCAGTTGAGGTAAAAAACAAAATGGAATGTTACGTAATTCTCATTGGCTGACGAGAAGAAACAGATCAGATTGTCAGGTAAAAGTACCCTTTTCCATTCTCCCTGTGCCCCTACCTCCTGTCCTCTCACCACACGCCCAAGCCCAACGGGTCACATACTTGTTTAGACTTAGTTATATCTCTTCTCTCGACTTCCCTGCTTCTTTGTTCAACTAAAAAAATAAACGTGATCTGACAGAAGATCATGATCCATCAGTCACCAAGGAGGACCACCAAGACAAGTCCTAGAGGAGTTTGCATTCTATTGGGAAGAGAGAGACCATAAGTAGGAAACAAATAAACAAACAAGATCATTTCAGGTGCTGCTGAGGGCCACAAGGAGGATGGAAGGGAGTGATGTCTTTGGGAGTGATGGTGTGGCTATTCTGGGTAGGACAGCTGGGGAAGTCTCAGAGAAGGAGAGGAGTAAATTGGAGGAGGTGGCAGAAGAACAAATTCAGTGGCCCTAAGACAGACGTGAATTGGTGTCTTCAAGGGGCAGAGAGGAGGCTGATGTGGTGGTAGTGTCATCACCAATAAGCAAAGGGAAGTCAGCGGGCGAGATGCACTAAGATAATTGTGTGTAACTCATTCTAAGTTTAAGAAGAAGTCATTAGAGGATCCTAAGCAAGGGGAGGCTATGATATAATTAATGCTTTGGAGGAAGGAACAAGAGTGCAGGACTCCAAGCGAGAATGATGCCCTCTTATGCTAAGATTTTAGTAGTGGAAACAGTAAGAAGCAAATTCAGGGTTTAGTTTGGACTTAGAGCAAATAAGACTTGGTGATGGAGTGGAGATGCGCAAAAATGAGGATCAAAGATCTCCACAGTTTTTTGGCTGTACAACTGGAAGACTGATGAGGTCATTAACTGAGATGACACATACCGGGAAGAAATCAGGGGATTTAAGTGGAAACATCAAGGCTTTGTTAATGGACATCTTCAAATCAATATGCCTTTTAGACATCTAAGTGCAGCTAGAAAGTCACCAGTCAGATGTGCAAATCTAGAACTCAGGGGAGAGGTCCATGCTGGAGATGTGAATGTGACAGTTGTCAGGTTTTAGATGATATGCAAAGCCATGGAATTGGATGAAATCAGCAAGAAAAGAAGAGATCCAAGGAGGTTGGCCTGGCACATTTGGGGCCTTGCAGCATGTAGACCTGTTGGAGGAAGAGTACCTAGGATGTTAGGATCCAGTTGCCAGAAAAAGTCAATGCTTCCATCACTCCTATGAGAAAAAAAATAATGTGGGTGATTTTGTCTCAATGTTGCATTTATTATTAGAGCTAATGGCTAATAACTATATCTCTCACTGAGGTTCACACACCGGCAATTGGTTGGTTGGTTGGTTGGTTGGTTGGTTGGTTGGTTCAAGAAATAAGAAACATATAAATATTAGAACATGATTTTCAGTGATGTTTCTTATGTATATCTGTGAAAACGGTCTTACTCACTTTTCCAGGCATGTTATTGATGTTGTTGTGGTTGCTTATTTCTTACCAGTGTTTATTGTCCCACGACTTAAGAGTGACTGTCTCCCCTGTTATCTCATCATGGGACTGCAGGAAAGATTTCAGCCTGACTTTAATCTGTTGTTATGTGTTAGTGAAGATGACTTCCTCAAGAGAGAGTTGCAACTGTCTAGTGCTTGGAGCTGCAGGACGTTGTAGAAACCAGAGGACCTCTTGAACAAACTCAGTTTTCTTAACCGGCTGGTCTCAGCAGTCACAGGTGCAGAGCCTGGGGACTGCTCAGCCGCAGTGGAGGAAATCTTAAGAAAATCCCCAGGCTGTGCTTAGAACATGAAGCCCACACGACTGTTACTTTGCTGTGTCCCTTTCTCACTTTCAGAAAGATCCCATCGTCATTCTTATGAATACATTCCAGGGTCAAACAATTGTCATTGCCGCAAGTTATTTCTTTTATCTAATCCCCTATGCAGAACTCCATTGACCGATGCAACGTTGATAGGGCTGGTGAATAATGCATTATTTTACTTTATGTAACAAAACTTGGAGTTCAATTCTTTTTTAAAATATCTTACCTTTCCCTAGGCTAAATACATTTCGTAATCTAACCTTAGAGATAAAGCAGCAAAGAAGAGCTTTTTTGGAAACCATTTTGTTCCAACTTTTATTTTGATTTCCCCTACAAATGTATAAAAGTAGGTCTTGTGTTTTTTTAAGTCTGTTATTGAATATTTCTCAGTGGGTCCCTCACTGATAAACCCTGACTGGTGTCTCTCATTCCTTTTAGAGAAACTATCAGCACTCCTACATTGATTTTTTTCCTTTTTGGTCAATGATTCATGATTTCATGTACTTAACCGATGGTATCATTTCTTAATGGCTTAGTTCAGAAATAAGAATTAACTACAAATTTTATGGTTCTGTTTGTGGTTTAAAGCATTTTTTAAGTATTTGTCTCGTGCCAAACTACATTTTCACGTGATTGTAAGCTGTTTACAGTAACTCTAATAATGGTCCTCCACAGGCCATTGTTTGAAATCATATCTGCAAATATCAGGATGTAAATTTTTAAAATTCAGACAATTTGGATACTTCCGACATCCAGAGTTTATAGATTACACCGACATTCTAAATATCAACTGAGTTTTTAATCTTTTTTCACATTTATAATTAAGCTCTTTTTCTCCACTGCATAATTGTTACCTAAGTGATACTTTCCGTGATAAAAGAAGAAATATGTTATACATATTTACCATTGAAACATTCTTAAAGTATGTTTTTGGCAACTAATAACCTTTTTTCTTTTTCAATAGGATGTACCAATGGGTCAGCATAATTTTCAAAATCGCACATTAAGGTATGGTATATGTTCCACTTTCTAATTTTTAAAGGCTTATTGCTTTTTATTTATTTCTGAAAGTAATTATCCTCAATTATAGTAATTTTGAAAGCCACTTCTTCTAAAAAAGAGCAGCTGTTTGTGAAAAGCCCTATTAAATTGCTTTCAGCTTCTAAAAGTAGGATTACTGGTGGTGTTGTCATTAGAATTGAGAGGAAAAGGGAAAACACCTCCTGGTAAACACCTTAGAACTTTAAATTGCTTTCTTAAAATGCCTCTTCTTAATATTAATCTGTAGTAAAAAATCGAATTTTCTTAAAATGAATATGTTCCTTAAAATTACATTTTTTATGTTGAATTCTAAAGATAAAAGCAAGGTAAGTCCAGCCTTTCTATAGTGAAAAGAAAGGCTGCTCGACCTGCTCAAAAAAGGAAAAAGGGGCCGGCCAAGTGGCGTAGTGCTTAAGTTCATGTGCTCCACTTTGGCGGCCCAGGGTTCGTGGGTTTGGATCCTAGGCATGGACTTACACACTGCTCATCAAGCCATGCTGTGGCAGCATCCCTCATACAAAGTAGAGGAAGATTGGCACAGATGTGAGCCAAATAGCCACAGAAGCCCTGTCGCCATCCACCGTAGGATCCCAGGCAATAATCCTTTCCCTTGTCCATGTTCTGCTAGTTTTTGGGTTCAGAGTTTTACCTTCATGTTGGTTTAGGATTCAAGTATTATTGAAGATGTTCAAATAATTAACGAAAGGCCTAAAACTTGACCTAGCCTTTCTTTCCTCACACAGAAGTGAGTTTATTCTTACAGAAAATGCATTGTATTCAGGTAAAAAAAATGAACACAATTATTTAGCTTATCACCTGCCAAAAGAGAGCAAATAGTGCACATTGTTCCAGAATCCCTCTGTCTGACTTTATTTGTTGTAATGAGCTCTAATTTGTATTTTGTGTAAAATTTGAAATTTTAACATTGTGATATGACACTTTTAGTTCTATGTTATAAGGATAATTGGATTCTTGGGCTTTTGAAGCCTTATTTTTTAAGTGGCAAATGCCATACCAAAGAGAACTTAAGCAAATTTTAGGGATCTTATGGACCCCATAGCATACCTCGAGAAGGCGTGGCTCTTCAGGCCATAGACGACAGCACATCTACCAGCAGCTGTGCACAGAAATTTCATGGACATCTTTTCACTTCATATTTGATAGCTCTTCTGTCATCTGTCTGCCTCTCCCTGCAATTCTGCTTCAAGAGTCTGTTTACTGAAATTACAGTGGGGATGCCTCATGGAGCACCACTGTTGCGTGGGCAGTGTCTTCTCACTGGATGCATACTGTCTGGAAGACAGTCATGATAAGCTATCATTTTTATCTATTCAGGCATATGGGAAATCTAATTTCATCCTTACAGCGTTACTCCATGGTAGATGGTATTGCCATTATCTTAGAAGAGAGGAAACTGAAGCACAAGGGGTTGGGAGAATGTCCAGAGTCACGTGGCTGATGGAGGTGAGGCCAGGGTTTGTGTCCAGACTCTGTGACACCAAAGCCTGCCTCCCTAATTGCCCTCCCGTCCTGCCTGCCCTCCTAGGAGCCTCCTCCATATCTCTTCCTCTTTCCTCTGTGATGGTTGATCTTTGGTGGCCCCAAGGCCTCAGGGACAGGGCTCCACTTTCAAGCCAGCCTCCCTGGGCTTCCCTCGCATTTGTGTCCCTGGCTCTGTAAGCGGGCCTATGTTATAAAACTCTCTGAGCCTCCAGCCTGGCCATCGGACGATGGTGAAGCATCATCAGGGATAATGCACTGCCTCTTCCATGCCTCCTGAGAGTTAATAGCCCAGGCGTGGGGTGGGACAGCTCAGGAAGGAGCTTGGGAGAAAGAATGGAGAGGAATTGCAGAGAGGGGTTGAGGGCAGAGAGCAATGTAGAGGCCAGTGGTGGGGCCCAGAGGCAGGAACAAGGACAAGAAAGTCAAACCCCGAAAGCCTGAGGAGCAAAGCCCTGGTTGGCGGATTAAGAACTCCCGGTGGGTGGATTATTAGCCCCAAGGATATCCTCTCATTTCCATAGCAGACGTCACATAAGTACAGAGACAAGAAAACTGTCTATATGTTAATAATCGTCCAGGTAATTAGTGAGTACGAAGGATGCATGATACTCTGCATTCATTGGCTACTTCATGTGCCACATTTACTGCACTGAGTGCTGTACAGACGTGATCTAAACTAATCCTAAAACAGATTCACAAAGGCAATGCCATTGTTAGCCTTGGGCATAAGATTGAAGGATTATGTTTTCCTGTGAGCTCGAGGTACCCACAAATGTTCCTTCTTAGACTTGCTGAAACTTTTTGGAAAAGAAAGCCACCAAATAGAAGTCAAGAAACTCAAGTCTAGGCATAAGGCTGATAAAAATGAAATGAAGGTAGCTCCTCACTGTAAATGAGAATGAGCCATGCTAGATGATGGCTAAGGTTTCCTGCTTCTTTTAGAAGAAGGATAAAAATTAATTTGCCTTCCATGTTAGCTTGGAATTTGGTATGCTTACCCTCCTAATTCAGTTGAATCCGTATCTGTAGGTGGATCACTTATTATCATTCTGTTTTTGAACCAAGACTGCCCATGGCCTGTTTAAAGAAGGCAAGACCTGAAGGCACAGACCTACAAAGGAGGATGGAATTGGCATGCCCCTTGCATGTCATTAATGACAATTCTGTGAGATTTAATTACAGATAAATGCGGCATTGTATATTTAATGCTATTGTTATCTGTATCAAGGCAATTCTGAACTCAGAAAAGCATTAATTTTATTCCAAAGTAGAAGGTCTATTCAATTAGCAATTTAACCAACCAGAAGACAGAGAAGCCAGGTGCATCCTCCACATTGGACTAGGTGACTTGCTGACACCTAGACTCAGATGCAGGCTGGTTCAGGCCGGTTTGGCGATTATACTGTGCTTATATTCTTTGCAGTAGATATTTAACTTTTAAAAACAGGCATTTCGATTTTCTCCTTCACGTCATTCTCAAGCTAATCGTCAAATTAACCTTGGGGAACTCACTATTATTTTGGCATAATTTATTTACAAAGCATCTTGTGTTAATGACTGAATATTATTTGCTTCCAAGACCAAGAGGTGGTCTGCAAATGTAAGTGGGGTTTTCTGTGTGTAGAGCTTTCAAACACTGAGGAACATTCAAAGACATACAATTAAGCTCTGATATGCCTCAAATAAGACTGTCATTCTGCAAATTCTTGAAAACTGACCAAGGGAAACAGGAACAAGGAATGACTGTTTTGTCAACCAAACCGCCTTTTTGCAGGGGAATTTCCAAAGCCAATGTGTTCTGTCATGAAATCAAGTTTATAAAGGCAACAAGTCAAGGGCTAATGCATCTCTTAGGACAGAAGGTTCTTTAATCTCCAGCATCAAGTATATATCTCTCAGTGCTGCTTTTGGATGCCTAGTCTAATTTCACTCCAAGTGAGTGGTAGGCCAGCATTTCACTGCACCAAAAGCTCTACTCAATTCATTCAGTCCACAGAGTGGCTATGTGGTAATAGAGAGAAGGCTGCTCATAGACTCTTGTTTCTTTTTTTCCCTCAATTAGCAGAATTAAACAGAGGTTTTGGCATCCTAGAAACAAATGGGCTGCATATTTAGTTCACTAATAATTCTTACTCGTGATATTTCCTCTTTCATGTAGAACCAAGTCACAAAAGAAAAGGTTTGAAGAGGAACTAAATGAAAGGATGATTCAAGCAATTGATGGAATTAATGCACAAAAGTGAGTACTTTTAATCTTAAATTATCATTATTCTCATATTTCAACCTCTATTGTTTCAAAATAGTCATATTTTCCCAGACAGAGCCTTCCCCCATCCTAGGGCACCCCGGCACCCCACACAAATGCTCTGCTTTGCCGGCACCAGGATCAGTGTAAAGGAATCGCCTCAACTCTGCCCCGGTTGAAACCTCAACACGTCACAACAGAGAAACATGATTACCTGGATTCTCCTGGCAGCTACAACCCAGGGGAAAGTCTGATTTCATAAAACGTGGGTGGAAGGATATATTCATTCAACCAGAGGAAATAGCAGTTACTACTCTGTGACCCACCAAAACAAAATACAACATCAGAAGAGAGAGGAAGTCTTGTTCCTTGACAAAGTTTAGTCAATTATAATAATAACAGTAACAATGAAAAACAAATGCATAAAATCAGCCTCAGCATGTCTTCACAAAGGACGCCCACCTTCTTAAACTACTGTGCCCACCTTTAGAAAGTTTCTATTAAAGGGATCAGTTGAAAGTACAGTCATTGGCCTTGCTTTATTTTTGTCAAAGTTGCTTCTGGATTGTCTGTCTGTATTGTGTCATTTAGTATTTGAACGCGTATTTAGTTAGTTGAATGCATGTTTGTGTTTTAATGTAGTTTTATTCTAAAGTGGTATTTAATGTTGATATAACTGCTTATGTTGTAATCTTCCCGACGTGTTTCAGAAATCAAATAGGGGAAAATGTCAAGCTGCACTCAAAACTCAAAAGGGAGATTTTTTAAATGGAAGCTATTCTGCATGTATTTTTTAATTAGCGTCACTCCCGATGTCAGGCCCTCCTAATTAACCCCTCTTGTTCTTTGATATGATCTTCTTCTGATCTTCCTTGAATTTCCACTTGAGGATTCAACAGGGACTCCAGCCTTGATGTGCCATTCAGTTGTTTTCTGCTATTGACATAAAACAGTGATTTATATGCAGATTTTCATGTATTCGTTCATTTACTCATTTAGCAAACATTTGTGAAAGGCTGAGCAATGTCGGCATTTGCCGAGCACCAGACTTATCAAGACACAAGACCTCTCAAAGCCTGATGTCTAAGGGAGGGAGAAAGAAATCACTGTGCACTATGCAAGTGCCCTGTGAGGGCAACGGGTCAAGAGAAGAGGACAGCACAGAGGAAAGGCAGGTACATTGGACTGAAGAGTCATGAGTTTTCTGGACAAGGTGACACACAAGCTAAAACTTGGAGGAAACTAAAAGGAAGAGAAGAAGATCTTGCCTCATGGCGTGAGAACAGCACATGCCAGGGTCGGAGGTGTGCTTTTCAGTTTTCAGCACGATGGGAACACAGGCCCTGCAGGTGTCTCTCGGGGTGGAGAGGCTTGAGCAGAAGGGTCAGATTCCCTGAGAAGCACCTTGGGCTTGTGTAAAGCAGGTTATGCGGGTGGGTGCCGTTGAAGTGTCCTATGCAGTGAGTGTGTGATCAATTCTGCTCTGGTGGTGTGTGGAGGACTTCTCAAGACAGGCACACCCTAAAATGAATCCTGCACAGCCAAAGCAGAGATGGCCATGCCCTCCAGCGGGCTGAAGCTCAAGGCACAGGTTTGGGAGACCTTGACTTATCTGGGTAGGCAAAGTGGGGTAGGAAAGCACTTATGATAGCTGAGCACCAAAGAGGCTTACCAGAAACTTCTCCTGGGATCCACAGAGGTGGAAAGGGAGGCATCATGTGTGGAGGATGCCCAGGCCATTCCCTCCCCGGTGGCATTTTCCTCCTGAAGAGTTGGGCTCTCCTGTAAGTTTGATTTCAATAAACGGGTGTGCTAAAACAGTTAATCTTTAGAATGAGGAACCTCTCCTAAATTTGTTTTTTTGAAAAGGAAAAACAGAAAGAGAATGTGAAAAGTTCTAAGGGGGAGAAACATGGGCCTCTGTGGCGAAGGAAATGAGCTGGTGAGTTAATGAAAAACGTGTGATGCCAGCTTCAATCTGTGTGCATGGAGTGGAGTTAATGCACACGTGGATGACAGACAGACCAGAGGCATCTCAGACCACAGGGCTGAGGAAGGATTATCTTCCACACTGAGAGACCACCAGTCCAGCATCATTTGTTTCAGCTGTGGCTCCATGGACCACCTTCCCCAAATGCCACAGGGTTACCCAGGACCTAAGCGCACAGTCGCACAGTCGAGGCAACTAAAGTCTTTGGATTTAACGCTGCCTGGGTAGGTGTATAAGTCAGCTCGGGCTGCCATAACAAAACGCCACAGGCCAGGTGGCTTAAACGACAAAAAAGTATTTTCTTACAGTTCTGAGGGCTAAATGTCTGAGATGGGGGTGCCAGCATGGTGGGGTTCTGGTGAGAGCTCTCTCCTTGACTTGCAGACGGCTGCCTTCTTCCTGTGTGTTCACATGGCCTTTCCTCTGGGATGGTGCAGAGAAAGTGGGGGAGGAGGCTCTTGGTGTCTCTTTTTATGAGGACACTAATTCTTTCAGATCAGGGTCCCCACCCATATGACTTCATTTAACTTTAGTTACTTCCCTAGAGGCCCCATCTCCAGATACAGCCACACTGGGAGGTTAGGCCTTCAACATGGGAGTTGGAGGGACACAAATATTCAATCCACAACAATGGGAAAGTGGTCTTCTCTCCATTTCAGTGTCCCCTTTGCTGAGAGAGCCTGTGATCTTACATTCCAGAATAATCCCAGGTGAGGACGTGGGTCTACTTATGTATCTCACCTCAAGTCAGGATCTTGTTTAGAATTGCCTTTATTTGGCCTGGGCCCAGGGATAAAACAACATAGTGAAGATGAATAGAGAATCACTTATTGTACAGCCCAGAGGGGGGTTGACTTTCTTCTTGCCACAGACCGCTTGACTCAGGAACCATGTCAGGAGACGTCTTCATTTCTCTTCTCTTCTCCCTCTCTCTCTCTCTTGTTCCAATTCCCAAAAACACTGTCTGACCTTATCAGCCCACACAAATCTTTCCTATTCGAAATACCCAAATCACGTATGCACGTCTTTGAGTTTTCTACAAGTCAGTAATGGGAACTGAGGCCAGCTCAGAATACAAGGAGATGGCGAGGGCTGTGGGAAAAGCATCCTCTCCTTAATTCTGAGGACAAGCTAAGAAGAATTAGGCCCATCAGTTATTGCTTCAAGAAGAAGCCACAGGCCAAACCCAACTTGCTGTGGGAAAAGGAAGGCAAAGCCAACAGTTGGTTGAAATTAGTCATTGCTCCAAGAATCAATCCATTGCTCATGGCTTACAAAGCTCAGTGTTAGGTGCTGGACACAAGAGAGCAAGTGTCAGTCTTGGGCCCTTCCTGTCCACCTTTGGGCCTCGGAGAGGAAACTGAAGCCTGGTCTGCGAATATGGCGGAGGAGCTGGTTTTATTTCTACTTTATGAATTTCACTCTTATTTTATTTCCAAGCTTATATCATCCAGGAGCATTTTTAAATTAGATTTTTCTTTCTCAATGTAGAAAAAACCTGTTTTTAATGTTACCTGCATGCATTATTCATAGTTTGATATTCATAACAAGTACACAGTTCTAAAAATGAATATAGTTAAAATTTATCTTACATTTTATTTTCTGCTCATTTTAATATTCACCAACCTTTGATTCCTTCAGCTAGTCTCATAAAACAGCAATAACATATTTCTGCAATTAGTGCAGTAATAAGAAATACAAAAAAAAGTTTATTTCTCTGATACGTATGCTTGTGACTTTGAATCAAAAAGTATTTTTATAGTCCTCACTTTTAATGGCAATCATTCTGGAATACATTACTGACTTCCGGGCCTCGGTTTAGTCTTCTGGGATATTCAAGCTCGTCATGGTGTGTGTGCTGTGAGAGTCTTCAGAACTGTCGAGAGGTTCCGGGCACAGGGCTGTCCAAGGAGACTGGAAATGTCCCTCCTCAGATGCGCTGATCTCCTGGGTCAACTTGTTGTTAGCCCTAACGTGAAACATTGGTCTAAATTTAGAGACCCTAATCTGAAATCAGCGGGTGGCTGCACTTGTGGATTACTGAGGAAAGTGTAACAGGTCACTTGGCCTGTTGTCCTGGACCCTCAAAGGCCTTCACTCTATCTTGCAAATATATCTCAGTTAGTCGAAATTCATAGACATAAGACCAAGGGGTTGGAAAAGTACTATGCTTAGAAATTCATGTGTATTGATAATTGAACAGGTATAAGATTTTTGGGAAATTTATGCAAAACCTAATTTTATTTCTGAAGGTATATATATATTCCTCTCCCTATATATAGATATGTGGGTGTAGATGTAGAGGTAGATATATCATTATATACACTTGTAGATATATACATGTGTATGCATATATGTCACATATACACTCATATATATAAAATTCAGATTGTTGCTATTTTATTATAGAAATATTTATTTAAGAAAAATTAGGAAGGTAGAAATATGATTCCTCAATGTAATGACCCAAACAAGTTGGTAATATATTTTGTTGGTATTCATTTCTAAATATTTCTCTTGATGCATAGATTTCAATGTTTTCTTATGTTCTTGTACTCATGAATATAAGAATGTGTACCTTTCTGTTTCGCTTAGCTTTATATAATAAATTGTGTGTTTATTTTCTTGCCAAACTGTGAGTGTATCAGGCCTATATGACCAGCTTGCTCAATCGTATGCCTGGTGTTGCTGTTTAGCTGGTGAATACATACAACATTCTGGTGAAAAGTTTGGTCCTTAAGCTCTTTCTCTATCTCAACTACTTTTTTACAACAGATTTCTAAAAATCAATCAACCTGTAAGAATGGATACCTGTGGGGCCACCAGTGGCACACCGGTTAAGTGCGCACGTTCCGCTTTGGTGGCCCAGGGTTCACTGGTTTGGATCCCGGGCACAGACATGGCACCGCTTGGCAAGCCATGCTGTGGTAGGCGTCCCACATATAAAGTAGAGGAAGATAGGCATGGATGTTAGCTCAGGGCCAGTTGTCCTCAGAGAAAAAAAGGAGGAGGATTGGTGGCAGATGTTACCTCACGGTTAATCTTCTTAAAAAAAAAAAAAAAAGAAGAAGAAGCATGGATACTTGCATATAATTTTTACTTATTTTTTAACATCTGAGATAGATATATACTTTGCACAGGTGTTTATGTTTGCATCAACACAGTATGTTAGTGGTCTGAACCAATTGCGTCTTACATTGGTGGTTTTACCCATTTTTTGAAAACTGTATTTAAACGCAATTTTTTACCTTATAGAAATGAAAAGCATGACAATGAAAGTTATTTTCAGTAAGGGTGAAAGAAGCAAAACTTCTCGCCAGCACTTAAAGGCATGCTAAATAGTTTTGATGTCTGTGATGTGTTGCTTGCTAAAAGCTAAGAAAAGTGGTGCTTCTCCATGAACCAAAGCCTTTAGGAGATGAAGCTACCATGCGATTTCGGTAAAATGTCAGGGAATGAATTTATTGATCTCCTTGAATCCTTTTGATGAGCTAACTCCCTACTTATTTAATTTGGATAGCTTGAGTTTCAATTTTGTCTGACAGTTTGTGATGTCAAATTTTCCAAGGACTGTGGTGTGTGAGTAGGAATATTATATTTTCAGATCCTATTAACAGTGTCTAGATTACATATCCAGTTATTTGACATTATACTTTTTAAAAAAATATTCAATTTTGGATAATTTGCAATAAAGAAGAGCGTAAATTATTAAACAAAAGTAATTCCAGATGTTTGGTTGGAGGTCTGGTTTTGTGATGTGTCTGTTCTTTTTATTTCCAGGCAATGGCTCAAGTCTGAAGATATTCAGAGAATCTCATTGCTTTTCTACAATAAAATACTAGAAAAAGAAGTAAGCTATTTTTTTTCAAAAGCAATCACTTTTTCTGAAATGTTAGTTTTTAAAAATTCCTTCGTGAAATTGCACTCTTTTTTTATATTTGACATTTAAGCTGCCTCTAACTCTATCAGAACCCTTCCTAGATTTCCTGTGCTTCTCCCATGCGTACACTGTTTTACCGTGTTTCTTGCTACCGAGTTTCCATCTTTGGCTGGTCACTATTCCCAGCACTCCTGGTAGTAGGTGATGTTTGCAACATGGCCAAAGGAAAAGGACATGAACTAATAACATGCTTTCTCAATGGGAAATTTTCTTCGAAAAGGTTTAAAAGAAAGCAAAATCATTTTGGATAAATTTACAGTGTTTTTTCACGAATTATTTTAACTTTTTGACAGAAATATGAGATTTACATTCAACACCTGTTTGGGAGAATTAGAAACCCTCCAATTTTACGTTTTGTTGCATTTAAATGCCTTCATATTATGACTCCTAAAGTAAGAACTATTTCAGGACAAATAAATAAGCAGACATTTGGTTTTTAATGTCAAGTTTAACATGGATTCGCTAAAATGAATTAACTAATTGCTGCAGAAACAAGAAATGTTCTTCTAGGTCAACTTTATCTCATTAGCCTTTTGTTTTGTGTCAATCTGGAAAAGGAACCAGTTAAAGGCAATTTCCGTCACCCAACCATACAATTACGGCCTTAGTTTGAACAAAAGGTACTATAATAACGGCAGCAGTCATAGCACTGGTATTAAAATTCCGTTGAGAACATTCAGTTCATTGTTTTATGGATATTGAACAGAAGTATTAAAAGTCAAAATTCCTTTCTAAATTCATCAGAGTTGCATTTTACAGTTATACGTAAATTTTCTTTTGTATTAGTGCTCAAGAAGATCCGTTGTCCACTTCTAAGTCAGCATATTGACCACAGATGGTTTATCAAGTTGATATTTGATGTAGTTTATTATTATTATTGATCATTTTACCCTTGAATCACTTTAATAGACGCTGATGGTTCCTTATCATTTAAATGTTAAATTATTCCCTTCCTGATAGAAGTCCATTTCGTTTACTAATACCACAAGGAAATTCCTACTCATCTCTCTCCACAAAGCCCAGAAGAAGGTAAAAGAGAAGAATATAATTGAATGCACAGAATGTAATCACGTTTCTCCACGTATGCTGATATTGCCTCTTCATCAGCATGTAGTTTATCCTGGCTATTAAGTCACAAAATGCACCAAAAAAAATTCCAGTAAATAGAAGGTGATCATCATTTAAAAATGCAGCTCTTGCTGACGTTCCCCACATGTACATATTTGCAGAGGCCAACTTTGAGGCACATTTTAGAGAGCTCTTCAAGGCCAGCAGGAGGGGTCAAAGGCAGCAAGACATAGAGGAAGAGAAACTTGAATAGACCACCCAGAGATCCATCACCCCACAGTAAAACCCCAGCGGCTAAAACCTGAGAAAAACATACTAGAACCTCCTGCAACTTGGGAAACAGCCTGTGCAGATGGAGCCAATGCAACCTGCCAGCGTTGTCAATTGGTTTCAACAGCATTGCCACAAACACTTTATTTCCTTTAATTTTATTATAAAACCCTCTTTTGAGAGGCAGTGTAGCTCGTGGTTGGGAGCCTGAGCTCGGGAGCCAGTTCGCCTGGGTGAAGACCCTGATTTCACCCCATGCTGTGTCTTCCTGAGAATGTTGATCAATCATTCTGGTCTGAAGTTCTTTCGTCTGCAAATAGGGACAATAATAGTTCCTGCCTCAGGCGGTTGTTGTGTGGATTAAATGAGTTAATACCTGTAAAGCATTTGGAGTGCCTGGCGCCATCATTAAGGCTGGATGCCATGGAGGTCATTATCATCATTATCAGAGCAGCGTGGCTGTCTCTTTTCCTGCATAACTGAAGCAGGGGCAGTCCCAGGTGGGCAACTACACCAGTCGGTTTTGGTTCTAGATGTTATAGAAAGCCATGTGAACTCTGCTGATGGAGCCTGACAGGTGGGAAGAGAGTCCCTCAGCCAGGCCCAGGCACGCAAATGGAATGATCGCAGACCAGAGCAGGGCCTGATGGGCTGGGTCTCGTAAACTGACTGCCCACCTCTAAGGAGCATTGAGGTAAATAATACGATAAGATACCAAAATAAATAAATGCAATAAGGAAATTGTATTTCCTCAATACTATTCAAAAGTAAACTATTATTATGTGAAAAGTCATTTGCTTTCCCCAACTAATTACAGACATTGGACCTATATGGGAACCAGAGCATCCAGTGGTCCCTTCAGGCCACTCACTCATCTTTCTGGTCAGGCGCTGTCTCTCCTTGCTGGGCTGATTTAGTTACCTGTAAATGCGTTTCCAAACAGTTTTACTCGTAAAAATCGTGGTCTGTGGGAGTCACTCTTTCACAGCACATTTGGAAGGAGGAAGCACTCCCTGCCGGAGATGAACAGCCATTGTCCTTAGCTCTTTTTTTCCACAATCTACAATTTACAAGTGTGATGCATGAACTAGGTGTAGTTAGGCTGCTGGATGATTGTTTCAGCCCTTCTCTGAGAGAACTGTCACTCATGGTCTTCTTCTTCCCTCTTTAGTACCGAGCCACTGCACTGCCGGCATTCAAGTACTACGTGACTTGCGCTTGTCTCATATTCTTCTGCATCTTTATTGTGCAGATTCTGGTATTACCAAAGTAAGTACATATGATTCTGCATTGGGATTCTCACTGGGTGTGCCTTTCTACTGGAGCACAGTTATACTAAAGGATATGAGAGGATGCAAAGGTCCAAACAGGGGTTATGTAACATGCCCGAGGCTGGAGGGCATGAGGGGAGGTTAATTCAGGATCTGTGAAGTTAAGTGGCCCCCATGTGTCGTACTTAGTTATAGTAATATTGCATTTTCAAAGTGGACATGTTGATTCACCCTATAGGGATTTAAAAAAAATAAATTTAACCTTCTTACTTTGATTTCTGTATTTCTCTGATGCTGAGTCTAAGAAATGTAGTCTCATAAACTTTACACAGAAAGGGCAGAATGGCCAGATGTTGTTTCTAATAAACAAATAATGTTATTGTATATTGAAAAGACAAAACCTACTCTGGGCACACTATACCCTCTCATCTGTTCTGATTTCATGTTCTTCTCCCTCAAGTCTACTCTGTGCCACCATCTCTGATTATTATAGGTCACTGTCTAATTTGCCCCTCCCAGGAGAGACCTGGGTACACAGGGGAGAAACTGAGTAAGCCGGATTTCACACTTTCGTGCTTTGGGATGGGTTCGTCCTACTTCCACCTGTTGGTGAAATTCCAGCCACTCTCTGATTCCTAGATTGTCTTTCTCTTGTACCTTTTTAATGAGTGCAGTATAAGTCAATTGACTTTCTTTAAAGAAACTGTTTCTTCTCATTCTATAGTCTAAAAGAAAAGAAAAAGAAAACAAAACTTTTGTTCTTCTTTCAACAATTGGGGTTATAGAAAGAAATTTTAAGATAAATTTTCGTTCCCCTTATCACTATCCATTTTGTGAAGGCCAAAGCGACCATTTCCAACCTAGTAGGATTTAGTTGTGTGTGTGCATTTAACTTCAGGAGGCATTGTGGGCAGCTTGAATTGCTGAGGCTGGATTACATTTTGTCTCATGAAGATGCTGAGCAAACTAGGAAGAAATGGTCTGCCATTCCCCCTCTGTACTCCAAAGGATGCTGTTCTGGGCAATGAGCCAATACCAAGGCATTTATAGCAGTAATGACAAGTCAAAGTATTATTCATATATGTACAATTCCAAAACTATCTGCCCCCTTTTAGAAGAGGGTCCCACTAGACTTCCCTTTTGCCCCATAAATTTGCATTGAAATGATGCCCTGGTGGAGCAAAGGAGCATTAAAAATTAAGTTCTATAGGTAAAGCAAGCAGTACCAAGGGAAATGGGCCCTTATTCTTACTCTTAAGTAGATAAATTCATTCATTTTTCTACATCTTCCTATTGGATGGGCATTTTTATACTTTCTCCATCATAATTAAGACAAGATTTGTCATCTACTGGAAAGAGTTGGGAAAGGGGAAACTGACTAGGGCATTTTAAAAGATGATGCCAAAGAAGACAAAAAGACTTCCAGGGACCAAGAAAAACATTTCATGGGATTGCACTTTTAAGAAAACATCAAGGAGATGTCTTCTCTGTCTTTGCTTTTATCTTCTTGTCTCTCTTCTGTTGTGTTGTGTCTTTATGAGACCCTTGGAAGTTCTTTCTCTTGGGTATCGTCACCAGTTATTGTGTTTCTCTTGAGCAACAAGTTGGATTTCAGCACGAGCATTGTGAAATCTGTGCTGGTTGCATTTCCCTCTTTATCTTGGCAGTTAGAAAGCTCAGAGAAAAAGGTCTGTGGACTTGTCTAATAGAGTTGAGACCTGAACTTCTGTACTGGCTTCATTATATTAGTTATATTAGTCTTCTTCCTTCATTTTTCTTTCATGTTAATGACTTTGTTTTTCTTTCTTTTTTCTTTATAAACAATTCTTGCTGTGAAATATTTCAAAGATACAGAAAAGTGAGAGTGTAATATAGTCAACATGCATGTGCAAATAATCCAGACTTTACAAATGTTAATTCTATGTCATATTTACTATAAATATGTTTCCATGCTCTTAAGGGCATTATCCTGTGGTTATGCTTCCTGTAAAAAGCATCTATTTTTATTTCATTTTTTATTTATTTAATCTGATATCTTTCTCTATGTTAATGTGACGATTCCATTTGTATTTTGATGTTTTTATTGATGTATGTGGACCCACTTCTGCTCTCTTATTTTATGTTCCATTTATCTTGCTTTGCCTTGCTTCTTCCCCACCCCCATCCCCAACTTGTAAAGCATTGATCACATTTTCATTTTTTCCCTTTACTAGTTAGGATATATATATGTAGCTAGGTATCTCTCTATATATATCTCTCCTGTAAATTTTTCTTTTAATGATTGCCATTAAAATTTTAACATATAGTCTTAATTTAGTAAATTCTAAAGTTATTGTGTCTTTTCTATGTAATTATTTCTTAAGATTTTAGTTCCAGATGGCAATTATAGTCAATACTTATTCAGATTTACCCTTGTTCTTTACCAATTTATTTGCTCATCAATGCATTTTTAAAGTTTTTCCTTTCTTCAAGTTTATTTTCCTTCTTGCTATATCATTCATTGCTTTTTTTATTGAGGGTCTGTGAGTAGCAACTGCTTCCATTTTTTCTTCATATTAAAATATCTTTATCTGCTTTATTTCACATTTGCTCTTGAATAATAGTCAACTGGGTATAAAATTCTAGATTAACTCTTATTTTCCCTTTTTCCCTTAGTATTATGATGCTATTATTACATGAATTTCAGCCTCTCTTGTTGCTAATGAAATGTCTTCTCAATGTGGTTACATTCCATTTTAGGTAATCTATTTTTCCTCTCTGGGGGCTTTTTTTTCCTGGATTTTTGCTATATTGTTTCTAGATGTGTATTTTTTTATTTACCTGAGTGACTGCGTGTGATTTTTTCAATCTGAGGATTCATATTTTTGCTCAGTTCTTGGCAATTTTCTGACTTTATCACCATATATATTGCTTCTATCTTTTTTCTTTCCTCCTAGAATTCCTATTAATTGTTTATTGTGCTATTCAGTCTTTGTTCCAGGTCTTGTATTTTTTCCTCAAAGTTTACAGCTCTTTATTTCTTTGTGCTACAGAAGTATTCTGGTGAATTCCTCATCCACATTTTAGTTAATAACATCAATGATTAGTTTTTCATATCTGACAAGTCTACTGGTTCTTTTTAAAATCTGAATTGTTTTATAATTCTATAGTTTGCTTATGGATTCCATTTTTTTACTTTCCTTTAGTAGAAGATTTTGCACATAGTATGTGAAAATATCACTTGTTTCATTCTGTTACTTATGGTGCATAAATACATGAATTCTGCCATTTAGGCTATTAGTTGACTCTCATAGTTGTGTATCTCCCTGTGTTATCTGTGATTTTCACTGTGAGTTCATCAACAGTAAGGGTTTTGGTCCATGGTAATTTCATATATTGTGAGATGTGAACGCATCACTATGATATAGTTTTCAGTGTATCTCTGCCACATGCCTCTGGGGTTCACCACTTCAAGTCACAATATTTTGTTAAATCCTTAGGTCAAGGTTCCTTTACAAAATAGATTATGTGAACTTGATTAACCCCTTAGCATGGAGTGGGATTGGGGATCTCAGTTTTCAGAGATGACTCTCTCCACTCATGGCCCTGGACTGATGTCCGCTTCCCTGAAAATTACCAGACCGGGGGGCATAGTTTATATGTTTCCTATTTCCTGGTAGGAGAGTATCTTATCACTTCCTACTTTATTCAAGACCTCAGTTCCAATTTCCCATTAATCAAATATCTGAGAGCATCGCTTACCTTGTGTAGACATTAAATCCCACCTTCTGTGACATGTGTCAGCCTTGTGCCGCCTGGTTCCTCCTGGGCCGTTTTGCATCAATGCCTCTCAGCATTCTGTTTTTGAATAGCCTCTATGTATCAAGTGTTTTCTCTTCCTTGCTTATGAGCTCATCTATTTAAAAACATAATTTTGTTATATTTTATGAAGCATTTTCATTGGGCTAATGGTGCTCCTCAGTTTTTCTGGTATACTCTCACTTGTTTTTTAATATGATCATAGTTTTGTTTGTTTTCTTTTTGGTAAACTGCCTTGTGTTTTTTTTTTGAAAAAAGGAGGAAATTGATTAAATGGGTGAATGAATGAATAACTTAACAGAAGAATTTGTGACCTTGAAAACATAAGTAAGGGGAAGTGTTTACCTGAAAGATGGCCTTACATCATCCCTATTTGGCCCATAACTTTTGAATCTGGCTCTAGTCTCAGAATTTAAGTAGCTATAATTAAATTATTAATGGGCTCGTCTTCTTGGAGTTTTTCTCTCTCTTCTGTCTGTCTATAACTTTATCAGAAATCTGAGTCACCTTCAAAGATCAAAAATGATCAAGCATGAATTATATTTACATTTTTAATAGTTTCATTCATATTTCTGCCAAACTAAATAGATTATGTTAAACCAGGCATGGGTAATTGTCAAAATAAGGAGTATTTTTTTTTTAATAAAGTTTAGTTTAATATAATGTGTTTCATTATAGCCCAAGTTAAATTAATAATAATGATATTTTACTTAAGGAAAATTAATAGTAAATTATAATCTTCAATATCTCAGAACTATTATTTCTATTGAGATTTCTTAATACTCATTCCATTGTTATTCCATTACTCCATTATTCATTTCAATAATCAATGTTCATTGATTCTTTAATACTCATTCCAAAAGAGTTATTTTTATTTTTTTATCTCCAAAAAGGAAAAACTATATATAGGAGAAAGTTTACTGGTAGAATCATTCATGTCCATTGAAAGTAGACTTGGTTTTCTAAACACAAACAATGGAGAATAAGTATTGTGGAAGCAGTTTGCTTTGGTGGACATCCGAATTGGTGCGCCTAAGCACTGGATACCAGGAAAGTAAGTTACTCCCTATGTACCTTGATGCAGTGGGTGTGACTCTTAGGGTGAAGCAAAAAATAAAGAAAGAAAGAAGTAAGATCATTCTCACTGCCCAAGATTAATAAACCATATGGCTTTTACTGAAATGAACAATATACAACTTT